TATATATATATATATATATTATTCTCGTGTTGTTTTCGGATACGGTTCTGTCAGTATTTATTAGATTACGCGTTACCGCTAACATGTGTGAGAAAAGGAAATATTGTCAAAATTACAGAAATGATAAGACCAATAAGATTCGTATTTTATCATTAGACACTTGTGTATTTATATATTACATTTATTGATACCTATTGATTCGATTCGTTGCGTCTTATGTGAGAAAGGATATTATAATTATCTGGCTCCTTTGGAAAGCGGCGAGTTGTAATAAATTTTTTATTGTGCATTGCATTCTTTCACGGAGATACTGTGCGAAAACTCCTTTTTTATCGCATGAAGAATAAATGTGTCAGCAAAGATGAAACGCGAGGACACGAGAATCAAGTGTAAACCTTCCCATCAAATGATGTGTCCGTGTTACGCAATAACGTAACAGATCAATCGAATAAAATTGCCAGTTTGAGATACAAAGTTTGAGTTTTTATATTGTCCATTAGTCTCGAAGATACACGTGCACGATTTTCCTCATCTATTGCTATTATCAAACGTTGTTTAATTGTCGCGGTGTAATTCGCGGTGATAATTAGATAGTTAAACAGCTTCGAGATAAATTCTTAATGTTATCAAAGTTTCAAACATCGGTATTTGTTTAACAAGGAGAGAACATTGGATTCTTCATGGATTTTGATTTTCAATATGATGAATGAGTTTCATGAATTTACATAAAAAATAAATTGTTTGAGAGGTTTTTTTTTTAAATAATAATAATAATCTTGTATATATAATATTTTTCTAATATATGACAAGATTCTGCACTAATTATCTTGAAAATTGGATCCTGGTGTAATGAATTAGCACATATAATGTAGCTTATAATATAGTGAATAAAAAATATCGTAGATGCAGAGCTCAATAATGGATAATTTTTAGCAATAATGATGCAAAGGTGAAACTTAATTGTGTTCATGCATAGAATCTTTTATACACCATAGTTCAGAAACTATTCATTATTAAATCTTGCATGTATGATATCTTTTATTCGTCACAACATAAGTTATATTATATATGAAAATTAATTCATTTCATCGGAATTTAATTTTCCATATAATTAACTTTCCGTGATTAAAGTGCGGCTTTGAAGACCCAGATGAATTTTCAATTTTGAATTATTCCACAAATTTGGACACATAAAAAATAAAAATTATTTCGAATCATATCATTGTAAATCGTATTTTTTTTCATCGTATTTTTTTAATTTGAAAGTTAAAAAAGTATCAAGATCTTTTCAAATATTTTAAAGCTCAAAACATTTTAAAAAACACAATAAGACATCAATGACCCGGTTAGATTAGGAAAGAAATAATGAAAGAAACGTTGAATCACAGAGGATTAATGCGGGGTCCATTCCGTACATTAAAAATACTATTTGCAAGATTCATTCAACAAAAATATTGGGATGTGGCACAATTTATTTTCGAGTGTAGATTCATTATGCTGAAAGAGATCAAAATTCTAAAGGGCTTACCGTGTCCTCTCCTTGTAAAATTTTTTAATGCTTTATTTTTCGAGATTGTCATTAAATTCGTGGGAGCCACGATCATAGCTGTCATCGGCCGAAATGCGGAACAGGAAGCGACCGACTAAATAAACTTATCTCCTATGAAGCGCGTTAACCGCATCTCCTTTTTTTCCCTTCTCAGCAGATTGTCAAATTCTCTGCTTTTTTACATGGACACGCGTGATCATAACGTCGTCGCTCATTCGCCCTATTACGAGCAGACCGAGCATATGCAGTCTCAACCGCGGCAAAAAAGCATCACTTTAGACCCAAAGATGTGGCTTTGTAAGATGCTGACGGCGAATCTTGAGGATATGATGCGTGTATTACTGGCGGCTTCTGAATTACGAGATTTTTTCATAATGCGCGACTCTGTGACCAGGGTGTTACGTGTGTCATGGTCAGTGTCAATATCGCTGCTACAATCATGATGGCGGGCGATATTCTGTGATGGATAAGAATTTATACGATCAAATTTATAAGTCAATATATTTTCAAAACAAAATCGATAACGTTAAATTGCTATAACGCTATAATTTTGTTAAACTTTTCTCCTGATAATTCCTTCCGACGACTAAGAATTTTATAAAATTTGTTGGTATCTGAAGAAAACAGAGTTAGGCGAAATCTCATTAAACATTTCTCGTTAATAGCATACAATTGTAATGACACTATTCATAAATGACGATTTACACACATTATAAATTTTCCCTGGTTGAGATTTGAAGGCAACTTGCCTGATGAATGATCGACGAAATTTCGCGCTACAAGGGGACCACTGTTGAGCAAGTCTCTGCAAAAAAAGCTGCTTTGTGCCGTAGCTTGGAGGAGCAGAAGCTGCGGAAGAAGTCACGAGGATGGTAAAGAACTCGAAGAATAAATCGTGAAGTTGCCTTGTGCTCATTGACGAATCCAGAAATTTGTCAAGAGGAAGCCATTTTTTAAAGGTCAAATATATAAAAGACAATATTATTATTTAGATTATTTAAATTATTATACTGAAAAAATGTTAATATTAAATGTATAATTCGTAAAACATTTTATTTAAAATTATATTAACACAAAAAATATAACAAAATTTATATTTTTCATACCTAAGAAATTCTTAAATTAAAAAATATTTTTGAAATATCAAAATTGTGATTTAAGCATTTCAGAAATATTTAAAAAATATATAACTTTGCTGTAAACATTTTTAAAAAACGAATTCAGGGGGGAGCCACGGCTCTCTGTGCTTATGCTTGCGTTTGTTTATCTAAGGAATAATACCACATTGACTGAATCATTAAAAAAAAATGGCATAAATTCGGTCAATAATCGATTAATATGACATTAAATTGACATTATTTTAACTGTCTTGTTCTTCTTGGATATAAAGGTTTAAAGGTTTACGAACATATTTATCGAGAAATGATTGTGACAAAGCCAAAGTATAATTTACAATATAAGATTGATTGTTAATATCTTTTAATAATAATTATACTCGAAATTGTATTAATTTAATACAATACAACTTTTAATTGCTATTTGGAGCTACGTGATGGTTTCTATCAAGTTGCAAATGATATGCCGACGATTTCGAAGATTATCGCGCTGGTTTGTCTCTGTTTCTGCTCGAATCGCGTTATTAATCAACACACGAAGTCTGCGAGCGTATCACGCGTATATTCTCGTATCTAATGAGACAGTGAGAAAAAGAGAGAGTGAGAGGGAAGGACGGTAGACTTGTCGTACTACGCAACAGTGTGTTGCGAGTAGAAGGAGGGAGGATGAGGACAAAGGGTAGAAGGAGAGGCTCGGGACCTGCGAGGGAGATGTGTAAAGGTGCAGATGACAAAACCGAAGTGCCGGCGTACCAAATGCTTCAATGCAAGCTGAGCGCTCATTCGAGGCGCATCCGGACGAAACTTTCTCGGGACAGTCGCTCACACGTTCTTCTCAAAGAGATTGAAAAAAAAGTGATAAAAAAGAATCAAGAGATCAAATTTACGAGCGTGAGCATAATAATCACGGAATTCGATCGATGAGAGAAAATGGCACATTACGTCGATCTCGCTGCGTCCTTTATTATCCTTCTCCTGATGGCCCACCTGGAGCAGCTGGTCCTGCACAAACGAGGTACCGTTTGTAATCCAAATAATGATTGAATTCCCGATTTAAATCGTTAAAATTGATTTGCCCAAAATTATTCTAAATTATTAAACAAATTCGCGCGATTGGTAAACCGCCAACCGGCTACAGCATGAAAATCTTGCGCAAGACATCAGAAATATATAACTAGTTTCTAGCTTATTTAATTTTCGCTTTATTTTTTT